TGGGTGGGATGTTTTCGAGAGCGTGGGAAGTGTCAGCTCGTTTGTTATAATCAATTGCGCCGCGTAGATTGCACCGCGTCGACCCCCCTGTCCCTTAAAAAAACTCGATCCGCCCCCCAGGTTATCGGCGCCCCTTTCCGCATTGCAGTTTACATGCGGTGTTGCCCCAATCGTCCATCTTACACTTGAACTCGTACCATCCCAGCCGAGCCGGTATCGCCCTCCCCCCGCCATCCTGTGCAACAAATGCTACGCGCGCGCTCGATTATGAAGCAATCATCAGTTTACAAGAACCCCTTGCACCATGCATGACGAAGTGTTCGTCGCGCGCGCATGCCGCGATCCTTCGAAAACCTTCGGTTTCGTAAGGACTTCAAAATCGGGTTTCGAAAAAAAAAAAAAAAACATGCAAGAACACAGGGTTTCGCAACACGGGTTTTCAAACAAAAAACATGTGCGCGCGTTGTTGGGAATTCTTCCGGAAAAGCAATGAGATGTTCAACATTCCCAGAACATGCTACCAAACGGGTTTCGCGCGCGCATGTCGAAATCGTTCGAACGCCCTTGCGCGCGTGCCGGCGCGAGAATTCCTGTGCAACAATAAGGCGATGTGCGCGCGCGTTTCATTAGGCGCGCGCTCGTGCTCATGCGACTTATTTTAAAATCGTAGTTTTGAATGCATTTTCGTAAAATTCTGCCAAACGGGACTGCGGCGCCGCAAGCCGACATCATTCGCGCGCCCTTGCGCGCATGCTGGGAGGGCACGGTCCGTGTCAAATATTACCATGAAGGCCATTGTCGCGCTTCGGCCGCGCGCGCATGTCGAACTTTTCCAAAACCTCCATCAGACGCGAAGACGCCGTCTTCGTCGTCGGCGTGATCAGCATCAGCGCCGTCACTGGTTGTGCCGTCGTCGCTGTCCGCATCGTCACCAGCATCGCTACTATCATCACCGTGTCTACCGTTGTCGACGTTGCCATGATACCGCGCCCGCCCAAGTCGCCGGCTCGCATTGAAGTACCCGCTGGGATATGCCCAGCGGTCAGCGCCACCACGGCTGCGTCGGTCGCGCCAAAAAGTAGTTGGCCGCTGCGCGCGCGTGCATGCGCGGGCTGTCGCGGCCGCAGAGATGCACCAGCCAGCCCCAAGCAATCATCGCAACCGCCGCCGCATGGGGTTTGCAAACCAAGTTGCGGGTGGGTGGGTGGGATGTTTGCGCGAGCAGTGTAGTGGACAGCTCATTTTGACCATTGATTAATTGCACACCACGTAGTTTGCACCACCTATATTGCACAAGGTGGTTTGCGCAGCAAAAATGTCACCACATATGCTGCACCACATAGGTTGCGCCACATAGATTGCGCAGCCTATGTGGCGCAACCTATATATTTCACCACGTAGATTGCACCTGTTTGATTGCACCACGTATATTGTTTGACGCAGGCTAACACCACGTAGGATGCCAAAAAGACGCGGTTTGAAATCCACGTTGGCTAAAAGATGTCGGTGTTCTCCCCCATACGTGCGAACGCGAACGAAATGTCAGACGAAGCCATACGTATTTTTCTCATTCCGTGCTTATGCCTCATGGAACGCCGTCGAGCGCCGTGTCGTGGGCTCCGTCGGGGATCACTCTCTCCGCAGCGAGGGCCCCGCACAAGGGGCTGTGAGATCAGCCCTGGCAGTGGTTGGAACCATCGGGGCCTGAGATGGCCCAGGATTGGCTGCAGCCAGCAGGAAATTGGGCAGGCAGGTTCGAGTTTCTGGCTTCGGCAGGGTGTTTTGCGTTTTTCTGCCTGAGGGGGCCGTCTTCCGGTCCCGGGACCGTGAACAACTGATCCGGGCTGGAAAATTGCACCAGATGGACCATGTGAGAGGCCAGGGAGACGAGATTGCCGGATTTGGCTTCATCCCCCCCTCCTGACTGATTTTCTGGGGTCCCACCCAGTTCAGACTCCCCTGCCGCCTCCAGGCTCGGTTTGTGCCTTGCCGCGTTGGTGCTGTCACGCTCTGGGGTTCGAACCCGGATCCAATCAAACTCCGATGGTGTGACTGGCTGGCCTTTCTGACAAGTCCGAGCCCAAGCTCTTCCGCTGGAAGCTCCCCCTGCAGAGGTGGACCTCATCAGGCGGCTCGTCTGCGACGCGCCGGACCGCCTCACGGCTTCTGGCGTTCGTGGTCACTGCTTCTTCCGAGGCCCACGGCTGCGTGGGCCCAAACCGGCCGCTTGGCCGACCTGCGGGCGAGAGGGGCCACGTCACGGACTGCCGACCATGCCCCCGCCAGGCTGACGACCCGCACAGTCAGGATGGGCAACCTTCCCGAGGGCACCCTTGCGCATCCTTGCCTCCTCGGTCCATCCCTGGCCGCTTTCGCTGGCCAACCTCTTACGAAAAACGTTTGGCGTGGCCCTCCAAGGCCCTTGCATCCTTGCCGCGCGCATCCTTATGATCCGGGTTGACTGAGCATCCTCCGACACGGCGCTCTCAGTGCGCGGCCCCGAGGAGGTCCCGGCCCCTGCGCCCCGGAGATCCGCGTTGGCATGGCCACGCGTGGCCCGGCCCCGGGTCCCGCAGGCCAACACCTCGAGGAGCAACACGCACCCGGATGGATCAAATCGCCTCGTCGGAGATCCGCCGGCGGCGCGCGGCGGGTGGAAGTGGGAAGGAGAAGGCCCTCGCAGAGGGCGGCGGGACTTCTCCGCGAGGCCCCAGCGCGGTTTTTGCGAAGGGTGCTCTGCGCGTCCTCGGCGGAGGCTCATGGACACTTCTCGGGAGGCCGGGGGACTTCCGAGCCTTCGGAGCAGGCCCGCCCCGTTTCATCCCCAGACATGCGACGTCCTGATTTTTTCAGGACGGCGTCCCTGGAAGTCCAGACCCTTTCCCCGGGGCCGGTTTTTCGTCCTGACTCGTTTTTTGACGGTCCCGAGGCCCGGCGAGGGCCCCCAGGGGCCGAAAGTAGCGAAAAACCTTCCGTCTTGATTTTTTTACGACGCCATCATGTCTGGGTCTCATTCCCCCCCCCCGCTCGCCGCCGAAGCCGGGGCGTCACCCAGAGCAGCAGATTCCGAGCCAGGCGGGCTGCCGCCGCCCGGCCGCGCCTCTCGCCCCGTGAGGCAGGCGGGTCCCGCGGGAGACGGGCCCCCGGAGGTGGCTCCTCTCAGGAGGGGAGGAAACACACAGACACAACAATGAATCGTCGATTCCCCCGAAAGTATGGGAGAATACGGGAAGTGGGGGGGAAGACAAAAACCCAGAAAATATAGGAAAATGTGGGACATCTTTTTGTTCGTGTGTACTCCAGATTTCGTAATAAAGGGATGGGGGTCTCATTTCGGGGGGGGGTCTCTTCCAGGCTATCTTGGAGGGCCTGGGGGGGTCTGGGGACGATGTTTTGGATGGTTTTCCCACGGGGGAGGTCTGAAATGGCTTGTCTTGGAGGGTCCAGACCCCCTCCCTTTTATTACGAAATCTGGAGTGTTGATTTCTGTGTCCCGGGGCCCCCTTCATCCTCGTCTCTTCCCTGCTCGCCGCCCGCGCAGGCCCTCCGCGGGCCCCCGCCTGCCGTGGGCCCCGCGGTGCCCGGCCTGCCACACGGGGTCGGAGCCGGCGGGGCCGCAGGCTCGCCCGCCGCACCGCCGAGGCATCGCGGCGATGCGGCTCGGCGTGGGGCCCGGTCTGCTTCGCGCCGACGTCGCCGATGCACCGCCGACGTCGCCGGTGCAGCGCCGATGCAGCGCCGACCCAGACATGATGGCGTCGTAAAAAAATCAGGAGGGAAGGTTTTTCACTATTTTCGGCCCCTGGGGGCCCTCGCCGGGCCTCGGGACCGTCAAAAAACGAGTCAGGACGAAAAACCAGCCCCGGGGAAAGGGTCTGGACTTCCAGGGACGCCGTCCTGAAAAAATCAGGACGTCGCATGTCTGGGGATGGATCGGCGATGCACCGGCGGTGCGGCGCGATCCTGCGGCCCAATCTGCGCTCGGATCCCATCTGGCCTCTATAGTGGCGGTCCAGGACCCGTTTCCCTCAGGACCCGTTCGCGTCATGCCCCTCGGCCTTGGGCGGGTTTTTTGCCATGGGGGGTGCGGGTCCGGAGGGAAGCGGGCCCTGAGGTTTTTCACCGTTTCCGGGATCCCGGGGCCCTCCACGCGCCCCGGACTGTCGGTACAAGATTCAGGATGAGAAGCTCGCCCTCGGGAAAGGCCCCAGGGCACAGGAGCCGTTTCACTCAGGACCTTAGTGGGCCCTGGAAACGACAGGGACGTCTTTGTTACCGGTTCCGTTTTGCCGTTTTTTTGCCGGTTGCGACGCCGTTTTTTTACCGGCTCCGTCGCCGTTCTTTTACGGGTTCCCGCTCCGGTTCCAATCCTGGAGCCGTTTTGTTGCCGTTTTTCCGGTCGCTGTTTTTGTTGCCGCTTCCATTTTCAAGGGACATTTTTTCGGAAACAGTGAAACAACGGCCCTGCCGTCTCCGGGGCCCACTATAAGCTCAGGACACCCGCTTCCCCCAGGCTAAGTAAGGTTTGTGGGGTTCTCGGCGGTGAGATCCGAGCCCCGGCCTCGCCGATCGAGTAGTCGGGCAGCTCGATGCGCGGCGGGGGTGGGGTGCGGACTTCGTCGAACGCGCGGCGAGAGCCGAACCCTACACTCCAGGCGATGCTGAAGAAAACCCAAGTTTTCGGCCAGAGTCTCGATTATTCTTAATGTTTCAATGTAAATCCTAAGATTTGAATGGACATTTTGGGTTTTTTTATTCAAGTTCTGAGACTATGAATTTCTTAACCCATGATGTCTTAAGCATTTCGCAGGGTGTACCTCCGCCTCCCATCGATTCAGGAGAACCGATGGTCGGCGGGGGCAGGGTTCGGATGCCCCCCCACACATCGACCAGAAACCAGACGTCACCACCCCACCTGCGGCCCTCCACGTTGCGCTATGGCCCATCGGGGGCCGCAGAGTACACCACGCAAACACCCAAGCCAGATTCCATGGTGTGCGATGAGGCCCGTGGGACCGCAGGTGGGGTGGTGTCGTCCGTCTCCTGGTCCAACCCAGCTCCTCACCCGGGGCTCCCGGTGGCCCCGCGCTGCGGCGAAGCGGACGGCGGTGCGAGGCCTGGACTTTGCGCGCCTGCACGAGATGGACCCGCCCATCCGGCCCGCGGCGAAGCTGCGCCAGGCCTCGGGCTTCGACCGCTACGACTCGGAGACCGAGCTGATGTCGGGCTCCCTGGCGACGTGGAGCTCAGCCGGTGGTGATGGGCAAGCTCTCCACCACCGCCATGCCGCATGTAGGACGGGGGAGAAGGGGGGAGGAGGAGGTCCTCCTCCTCCTCCTCCTCCTCCTCCTCCTCCTCCTCCTCCTCCTGCTCCTCCTGCTCCTCCTCCTCCTCCCCCTCCTCCCTCGCCTACCTATGGCAGTGGTGGTGGAAGATGGTCCCATCAGGTGGGCCGCAGGCGCAGCCGAGTGCCCCCGAGCCGCCCCTCTCCGCAGCAGGAGGCCCCGCCGCGGGGGCCACTGCGCCCCCGCCCGCGCGGAGGAGAGGGCGCGCGGGGTGGTCGGTGATCTCCGCCATCGCCGGCATCTGCTCCAGGTGAGTTCAGCCACGCGCAGAGGGGGGTGGGGGGAAGGGGGAGGGCTTCTTAGAAGCACCCCTGCTTCTTAGAAGGCGCGGGCCTTATCTATAGATGTAAGGCCTTCTAAGAAGCAGAGGTGCTTCTAAGAAGCCCTCCCCCCTCCCTCCACCCCCTTGTGCGCGCCGCAATGAGTGTGGAGCACCTTCTCGTTGCGGCTTCCGCGTCCTAGGAGTGCTGCTTCAGCAATGAGTCCACTGGGTGCCGTGGCATGGCCAGCGCCACCGACCACAGCTCCCCGGTCGCTCGCCGCCCGACGCGGATGAACCAGACATGTGCCCTTCGTTGGCGTGAGTTGTACGACTTCGCATTCGGTCTCAAGCGTTTCTGTGCCCCCGCTCTGGTCTGCTTCCCTTCTGATTGGCAGTCCAGCCGTTTTTTTTCCCCCGCGGGTTCAGTGTCTGCCGCATTTTCCATAAGCTTGGAGGAGCACACATGGCATACACATAACATCTCGGAGCTCCCCGCGGCTTTCTTGCATCGGCGCTGGGGCCCCCTGGATGCGCCTCTGGGAAAGCCGTCCCTGGCGCGCTCGGCGCGCCGATAGGGTTAAGTCGGGCCTGTCCCTCTGCACGAGGAATATCCAAAAAATAGTCAAAACATGGGGACGATCGCTTAGTGTATTTTTGCCTATGTTTGAGCATTGTTTGACTATTTTGCATTTTTCGTCCAGAATCCGCCTGAAGGGGGACATCCCCGACCTAAGAATAGGGGTTCAGTGCCGGTCCAAGAAATCAGCGCGGACCTCCGGAAGTTCATTCCCCAATCAGTGCTTGCACTGAAGGCGTCCTAGCGGAGGCTGAAAGATCTGGCGAAAGTGTCCCGCCGATTTTGGTGGACGGCTGGGTTCTTGGGTTCCCGGTTCCGTATTCCCGGGTTCCTGGTCATTGGTTCGTTCACGGGTTCCCGGGTGCCTGGTCGATCTCCTTATCGATCTCTTTATCGATCCCACGACTCATTTCAAACCATCCACCGGTTTCGCAGGCCTGAAGGTTGACACCAACACCAGTATCGGCGGTGTGCCTCCACCGAGGGAAGAGGATCCCGATCTCGGTGATGGTGGTAAGATTCTGGCTTCCAGGCTGACCGAACGATTACCACCAACACCGAAATCGAGGATCATCTTCCCCCTGTGGAGGCAGCCCCCTGTGTTGGTGTTGGTGCCAATTTCCAGGCCTCGGCGGAGGCGGAGGCGGAGGCGGAGGAGGAGGAGGAGACGGAGGAGGAGGAGGAGGAGGAGGAGGAGGAGGAGGAGGAGGAGGAGGAGGAGGAGGAGGAGGAGGAGGAGGAGGGGGAGAAGGAGGAGGAGGAGGAGGAGGAGGAGGAGGAGGAGGAGGAAATTGGGGTTTTTCTCTCGTGCAATTCGTGTATATGGCCTCCGCTGGCCGCCTGGCGCGCATGAGCTTCGAGCCGGCCGCAGGCGGCGCCCCTCGCCGGCCGCGGGGGGGGGGGTCCGGGGCGGATCGAGGAGCAGCAATGGAGGAGGGGAGGGAGGAGGAGGAGGAGGAGGAGGAGGAGGAGGAGGAGGAGGGAGGAGGAGGAGGAGGAGGAGGAGGAGGAGAGGAGGAGGAGGAGGAGGAGGAGGAGGGGGAGGGGGAGGGGGAGGAGGAGGAGGAGGAGGAGGAGGAGGAGGAGGATTTGCCGCTGCGCTACTCTGCCGCGAGTGGTCGCGGTCCTCCTGGCGGCCAGCCAGGCAGCCGACGAGCACGGCACTTAAGACGCTGCCAGCGCAGGATTGTTCCATGCACGCTGGCCGACCCGCAATAGCAGGCCACGCGACAGGGCCTTGCCCCCGTGGCGACTGCCAGGAGGCCCACCCGTCGGGCGTCAATCAAATAACCGCACCACACTGAGAGCATCCACGTCGAGCCAAATAAAGTCGCTCTTCGGGTGCTTGCCAGACAGGAGACGGTTCCAATATGAGGCCGCCGAGCGGGGGCAGTGCGGCTTACCATTACAAACTTTGTTGAGATAGCGCACGTAGCCCCCAGTCGAAAAAGCCTTACACTTCAGGCAGATACACAAAGCGCTACCGTCAGAGCAAGACAGGGCAATGCACTTGTGGCCAAGCTCTATGAGCTTGGTGTCATAGAGCTTGTGGGTGTGACGGCAGACACTGTTGGGAGGCCAACAGGACCTGGACACCCTCAAACATTGCTTGCACTGCCAGTAGCCGTCCCTATGCACCCAAGAGTGGCTAATCTTGGGAGCGGACACGGCGGGCTCCCGCTGCTCACGCGTGGCCTGCGACAGATCACACGCGGGCCAGAGCGGTAGCATCCTGGCAGCCAGCACACACACTTTCTTAGCAATCGAAAGGGCTCGATCGAGCCATTCAGACTGCTCGGGGCTCGGCCTCTCGTGAGCCAACGCCCCGAGCTTGGCGTAGTGATCAGCTAGGTCGTTCCCAGCCTTACAAAACCGCAAATGATCATCCCCTTGGGCCTGTTCTTCGGTCATGTGACCATTGACCTTGAAAATCTGGCCCATTTCAGAATCAGCCGTCCAAACAAACATTCCAGCGTGCACCCGTTTGAAAGACAACTGTTCTGAGCGGGGGAGGGACCACACCTGTACAACATTCTGACAATCACTATAACCACATGACGGTTCCAGGGCATTTTGGCAGGCCGCCGTACAAGCAGCGAACTCACCAGCCTGAGCCGTTTGCGGGATGGGGAGGGGGAGGGGAGCGTACACATGACCCAACTTTTGCCCAGAATCGGAGACCGAGACATACGACCACCCCGTCCGCGACAACTCCTGAATGACCGACTTGATGCACGAACCGTCCATAAAAATATGACCTTTCACAAAATATTCATCACGACCAGGGTCACTGGCATGATAAACAGTAGGTTCAGCAACAGTAGGGGCTGGAAAGAAATCACCAGGATGAGACATAATCCCCAAGGTAAACAGAACCTGATCGTGCTTCGATAGGGATGACCATGCTGGTGGATGGTATTGAAAGTCATCCCCTAAAAGCTCGCGGCGCAGCTCGGCACAGGACTCGTGCACGCACTTCCACAACCTGTGGAAAATCGTGTCCTGCTCCTTGCCGCACAGGGGGCAGAGCAAGTCGGGCAAAATGTAGCCGTGCTCTGACGCTCTAACCTTGGTCCACGGAGCCTGACAGACGAGCCCGCGGATACAGCCTTTCTCCCAAGGCGTGAACTTAGACGAAGCCATAGCACGGAGCGGCACGTCTAAGCAAGCACGTCGCTCCAGACCAAGGCTGTCTCCGTAGGCACGCTCATGAAATCTGAAAACGGCGGGACGCAGCAGACGTTTGAGGAGGGCAGGAGAGACAAGCGTCAACTGAACTTCCACCCCCAAATCGTCAACCAAGGTAGAGAAGGAGGGCATCTTCCACCCAAGACGCTCCACGGACAACCTGAGGGCCCCAACGGGACCTCCAACCTGCCTCCAGGAGGGGGAAGGGCCCGCAAACACAGTACTCCAAGCCCCCCTGAGCTCGGCCAAGCTGAGGCCAAACTCGAAGGAGGCCGTCAGGCTGGCCCAGATTTCTTTGGACCAGCGCACGATCGGGGCCACATCACAATACCGAGTGGGGTCGGCGGCGAACAGCAAAGCTGCAGTGAGAGATCGGCCTCCAGCCGAAGGGCTGAGAAACCGTCCAAGGGATCGCTGCAAACTCGCCAACTCATGGTCGGAAGTGCCATGCACCTCACAGCCATAAGTTCTGCTGGCCAAGGGGCCACTCGTATATATACGCTTGGCGTGTCTCCCCAAAGCATTCCTGTGAACCCTCAACCTATGACATTTAGTTTTGAAGGCCTTCTTACGAATCTGAATCTTAGCTCCTCTCCTGGCCGTCCGCCGAGGCTTGCCAGCAGCGTCGTCAATGCCCAGGTTGACAGCAGATGCGCAAGGAGCTCCGCCCACAGCGCCAAGGCCTCGGCGGATCTCCTTAGCCACTAGAGGGACTGAGGCGACCACAGCCGCCTTGCTAACAGAAATAGAGCAACCAAGATCGGACTCGATGGCCACCTGCACTCGGACACAATACCACAATTCCGCCTGACGCTGTCCGGGCGCCCGGGCGGCCTGGGCGTCTGGGCGGCTGGGCGCCCGGGCGTCCGGGCCGCCCGGGCGTCCGGGCGCCAGGCGCCCGGGCGTCCGGGCCGCCCGGGCGTCGGGGCGCCCAGGGCGCAGGCGGCCCGGGCGATCGGGCGGCTGGGCGCCTGGGCGCCGTCCGGGCATCCCGGCGTCCAGGCGCCCTTGCGGCCCCGGCGTCTGGGCGGCCGGGCGCCCGGGGCCCGGGCGCCGTCCGGGCGTCCGGGCGCCGGGCGCCCTGGGCGTCCGGGCGCCCCAAGCGTCGGAGCGCCCGGGCGGTTCGGGCGCTCGGGCGGCTGGGCGCCCGGGCGCCCGTGCTGCCCGGGCGCCCGGGCGCCGAAAACCCGATCGTCGGGGCGCCCCAGCGTTGGGCGCCCTGCATGGGCGCCCGTGGGCGCTCCCGGCGCTCGGGCGTCCGGGCGCCCGGGCGCCGTCGGGCATCCGGCGTCCGGGTTTCCGGGGCGCCTGGGCGGCCCGGGCGTCCGGGCGCCTGGGCGCCTGGGCGTCCGGGCGCCGGGCGTCTGGGCGCCCATGGGCTTCCCAGCGTCCGGGCGTCTGGGCGCCCGGGCGCCGTCCGAGCGCCCGGGCCGCCCGGGGCGGCCGGGCGGCCCAGCGCCCGCGCGCCCCAGGCGTCCGGCGCGCCAGGCTGGGCGCGCGTGCGCCGTTCAGGCGGCTGGGCGCTCTTGGCGCCCGGGCGTCTGAGTCCAGCTGGGCGCCCGGGCGCCCCGGCCGCCCAGACGACCTGGCGTCTGGGCGTCCGGCCGTCCGGGCGTCTGGGCGCCCTGGGCATCGCAGCGCCTGGGCGTCTGCAGGGCGGCCGGGCGGCCGGGAGCCCCGGGCGTCCAGCGCGCCAGGCCGCGGGCGTCCGGGCGCCGCCTGGGCGG